TCTATACGTCCCATACCTTGTTCGATCTTCACCACGCGCACGACAGTCATTTCGCCGTAGCAGTTATTTGTCAAAGCAAGTTATTGCCTGGATCGTCGCCGTGATCGTCGTACGGCTAATTGATACACCGAAAAGGGGTCGACTCGTTCGATGATCGCTCCAACGATTTGGCTCGCGCTACTTTTGTCACTCTGAGGCAGCTGCTCAAATGCACCTGAGCAAGCGCTTCTGGACTGGACAGAAGCGCACGCACGGTTATGGTGTGGTCCTGGGCGGTGAGCCTTTAAAAAGGTTTGTTTGACGAGCGGATCGAGTAATGACCTAGCCATGTTACTGCGCAATGTTGACTCTATGGCGGCTCTATATGCTCGACAGGAGGGATCATTACGTTTCTGTCGTTTAAGCCTCGACCAAATGGCGAAACAAAGCGCGGCTAAACCAGCGTTGTCTGGCGTTTTTGGCCTTCTGCCGGCTATTTCTGTGGGTTTATCTGCTCATTATACGGTTCGAGACGGTGGTGGTGGGGCTGCGGTAGTGTCCGTGGCAGATGGTTCCCATCTGCCTACAATTACTCAATCGACAGTCGGAATACATTACCACCGCATGGTTGTTCTCGAACCAAGCGCTCTGCGGGACTGTGGGACAATTGAAAAGATGCAGTTGGGACAAAATCAGGAAGAAAATGAGGGTATTTGGTTATGATGACTTGCGTTTTTTCTTAACTTCTTTATGCTTCGCAGTTCCCAGAACATCTTTTTTCTTTAAATCCTGAATTTTAACGAATTATGAGCACACTTCCATCTTGGCCCATTTTTTACAGTATCCAAAGAATCCCTGTGATTTTTGAGTTTTTTGCAAAAGCAGTTTGGAGAGAGATACTTTGTACGCCCATATACGGTTTACGTTAAATATCAGCACATTATGGCAGCTAGCATTAACAAAGTATGGTAATGCAGCTGTAAAGGTTTCAAGTGCAATTGAGAGTGCTAGAGCTACTTTCGTTGCTTAATACCAGGGATCGAGGGAACTTTGCCGGTTTAAAAGAAAAACTCCGCACAACTGCTGCGTTGTGAAAGTAGTTGGTCGAAAGTAGCCGGTTCAAGTTCTCAAGGATAATGATATATTGGTTCTTTCCCGCCCGATTGTACGTTCGTGTACGAAGGTGAAAACACATTCCAAACTTTCGATTAGGCAGGTATTTGTAAGGGTAATATCTAACCAGCCGTAATTACTGTTACTACCGCTATGGGCAATTAGTCCCATACAGCATTCTATACAGGTTTCAAATGAGAACTTTTCCCAGTAGAAACGTTCTTTTTTTT